TCAGGTTACATAATTTCTGGGAATGTTTTCAGTAGCCGGGAACCTTTTACCTTCTTAAGAAGAACTCAGATCCATGAAATTAGTTAGCAAGCTTTCTAATGTGTTGATATGTTTTGCTGAGTGCCTGTCTCTCAGACACAGCCCAGCCTCTGTACGGTATTACGCAACGGCAGACACCAAAGGATGTATAGTCTTCCTGTGTCCGATTAAGCTGCTGTCGGAATCCTACGAGAGTAACTGATAAAACGCTTAAAAATAAAGTCGTGACAAATGATTTGGAGAGCGTGACGTGTTCCTTTTGAACTATAGCAGCATTTAAAAATTAATGACTCGTGATTCCTTTTCAATTTTCAATCCGGAATGCTATTGTTTTCCGTGAGAACAACACCGTGAAGACCGGCTATTATCAGAGCTAAAAACATATTGTCTCTGCATTGGTGAAGGTAAATATCCTCTAAAGTTTTGTGACACTAGTCACAATCATGTTATACACTGTACATGATCGTAGGTATATTTAATTTATACGACGTTTCGGGAGGTACTTCCATCATGAGGTATAAAAGAGGAAAAAATCTTAATTATTTGGACACGTTAGAAAGAGATAGTCTCGATCATTGTGATAACTATCTATCGAGCCCAAGATCTTTTTCTCATTTTACACCTCATGATGGAAGCAGATCCAGCTTCCGAAGCGTCTTATAATTTAACGTAAGACGATGGTCGTGTCCAACATAATTTTAGTAAAGGTAAAATTTGTCTGAGCTTAAGCGCCACGGCATGAAGAAGCACTACGAGCGGGTTAGTTAGTTAGTTAGTTATTGGAGAGGGTGGGTTTCCCCATGCACTTAGACCAGTATTGGTCCATTGTGCTTCCCTCTATGATATTTTACCAGTCTCTATACCCTACCGATATTGGTGCATACCATCAGTCCCGACCAAGCCAGCGAGTTCGGCCTCTACTGGCTTTAGCGGTATCTATAATGCTTCCCCCATCTATCAGAGGCGTTAGAGACTACTGTTGGGCGGGAAATGTCCTTGAATTTGGCTCAGTGACCTCCTTTGGAGATATGAGGTTCTTTTAGGTGACGTAAAGCTACGACACGGGACCCACGGCTTAAAGTCCCTCCCGGAGGACTTGTTCCCTGAAATTTTCCGCCCTTAAAAATTCCACTACCTCCGCCGGGTTTGAACCCGCGTACCACGAGTCATGAGGTGGGAACGTTACCTCTAGACTACGGAGGCCGCTTACGAGCGGGTTAGCATTGCGGTTAACTTTCTTGAGCAGTATCCGGCAGGTTCTTGTTTCGAATTTCGGCTAAGACACCAGATATGATGACCGAGGCTTTCGTGTTGCCCAGTCTCTCCAAATTCCAGGACAATACTCGTACACCGATTAGGTCACGGTGATTTCCTTCCTAATCCTCTCTGTTTATTATTCAATCTGTCGTCATACCGCGCGACAGTATATAGTCCAGGTACTGATGTCGTCTTTGAACAACCAACAGAACATAAAGGCGTATTGGGGAGCGGCGAAATGGCTCCAAATAATATTAACTTTAGTCAGCACGCATAGGCGAGCGATCAACAGGAAATTTCTACCACGTTCAGATTCTTGGGGGAAGTGACCCCATGACTCAATGACCCCCAGAAACGTCCTCGTGACCGCCTCTATTTCTCAAGCGCTATTGCTTGTCACTGAGCACTGGTCAGCTAGGCAACAGTCAGCTTCATACATTAGCCAATGTCATACACAGATTTTCATAGCGGTAATAACGTATTAGTTCAGTAGCGACCCAAGCATAACTTCCACAGTGGTTTACTGTTACCACCTTCCGATAATATTCGTAACTACCACAAGCTCTGACTATTAACATATAGAAGGTGAGAACTAATCACGTAATTTCCTTTGATGCGAGACAGACCTAGTAGAAAACGACGAATCCAAAAATTGTTCGTTGCCGCGGGAATACACACAAAGCGTCTCCTCTGGTACCACATGGACTGCACAGAAAACGACGCGTCCAACAATTCCTCTATTTTTGCGTGTATCTGTTACCGCGGGAACGTGTTTACCGAGCCGTTGCCTAGCAACGGTAGGGAGGATAAACACAGGACACCCAGACTTATGGGAGGGATTTATGAAGTATGCCGTTGAGATGGTTTCAGTTGCCATGATATACATGCTAAATTTAAAAAATATTGGTTCAAGCACCCCAAAGTTGTCACGTGATAGAGTGACTATAGCCGAGGTTTGGATTGGTAATTGGATTTATTGAACCCTTACAGATCCGCGACTACAAGTAATTATAATTGTTTCACTAATTCACGCACTTTACAACTGACTAGAGCACACACATAAGTCTTCTCAGCCTGCCGTGTCTTCACATGTCTTCTGGTAACGGCTTCCAACTGTGGACTTCCCCTTCCTCTGGGTTCCCGAACTGTCATGACCTCAGCTACCAGCGTCTCAATACTGAACCCCAGCAGTTCTCTAACTCACTCACACACTCACTCACCAACCATACACTTCAGTGACTGAATGAACTCACTCTTCATTACTTTCCTGCTTATAACATCTCGGCACGGACGACACATAAAACACCGTTATTCTGTTGCTGTTTATGGCCGTTTCCTAATAACGGGCCTACATGCCACAATATGTTGATCTTGGGGTGAGGCGCCACTGAGTCTACTTGACACGTCGGCCACACTGTTTTGGCCTACTGTACCAGCCACGGGTGATAGATGATGTGTGTCAAGCAGTCGGTGGAATGAAAATTGTCAGGGGAAACCGAAGTACTCGGAGAAGAATTGCCCCGGCTCCAATTTTGTCAGCAATCAGTGGAGAGGTGAGTTCTGCATGGGAGGCTGTGATGATAGAACCTAAGCGCGTGAAGCTGAATAATCTGTTAGAAGCCGTTGTCAGGTAATGGCTGATGAATACATAACAGACTGGAATAAGGCTTAGCATGTGATGTGATTTGTAAGGTGTGGAGATTAGCAATAGCGCTGTAATTAATTGTAGTTCCGAGTGATGAATTAAGTGGTCAATAAATGCATTCACCAATCCATACCCCGTCTATAGTCACCCTTAAATCGTGACAGTTTGTCACACAGTGTTTGTCCTGCATATAAACTGATGGACATAAAAATGTAAAAGAAAGAATCCTGCCAGTCCTCATCCTCAAGTGCACCTGACTACGGAGTTGGAGTCCTGCACTCCCAGCTCGTTTGGTGTCTCATCTGTCTTTCTCTCTCTGTATCCCTGGAGCTGCACATGTGTCTCACACGTAATTTCACAAGAACATGCAACCAGCAACCTCATTACCTGGTACATTATGTAAGGGGGTTGGGTTCTTGTGTAATCCCTCTCAACACCCAGGAGTCTACTGGACAGAAGGAAACTTCTGAACTCTATTTGTGTTTGTGTACATGTCAGAAATACTGTGCATATCTTCTGTCCTCATAGAAAGTTATGTATCATGTTCATTGAATATTAATACATTCCAGCCTTACTGGAGATTCTAGAGCCTTTCCCCACAGTTTACACATTTTTGTAAAGGATGGAGGCTTTTAAAACTACACCTTTCAGTGTTCTTCAATTGACATGAGATATTCCTCATCTTCTCAGTTGATACCTTGTTTTGAGGGCGTCGTATTGATCATGGCGTGAACTTGTAGAACATGTATTAAACTATGCACCACAACAGAAGGTTCTGTCTTGACTTGTAACAGAGGGATGGTTACCTTGGAATATTTTTGATCTAATATAGTTACTGCAGAAGCAGAGTGGTTGGTAACTATACACTCCACCTTCTTCATTGTTGAATACTTAACCCTCCTGAATGTTTTAATGGGTTTCACTTGATTCTTGGAGTTAGCAGCAGTTGCTCTCCAGAAAATTAAACACTGTGATTTTGGCCTCTTGCAGCGATTAATTGTTGACGTTGATTGAGCAGTTGGATCCTTGCACTGTGTGGATGTTGGCAGTGTTGTCACCATTTGAGAGGTATATTCTGGCAGCATTTACCTCCAAAACATCGGCAACGCTGCCTGCATCCGCACAGGGTGGGGGTCTAGGAGTTGAATGAAGGTCACTTAAATAATGTATTCATGTAATGGAGACATGGTGTGTTTTCTTTGAAGTATGAACTAAATTTTGGGATATTATATGGATTCATAATAAATGATATGATATTTCTTGTTATGCTTTGATCAGTGAAGCCCATGAGCTTGAACCACTGAACAGGCTGCTCTAGAGGTAACACTCGTAGAGTTGTAAGTGGTTTGAATCTTGGCTGGGAGTAAGCTATCGTGACTGAGGTTTTCATGGTTTTCTTTAGTCCCTCGATGCAAATTCTGGGAATGTACTGTGATGAAGCCATGAGCATTTCCTTCCAAATTGTTGTTGGTTTATCATCAATCTCAGAACTGAAAGCATTGTTAAATAACCCCCACAGCCACACATATCCTGTACGAATGTGAGGCCTTAGCTTATTTAATATTACGTCACTTGGGTCAATATTTTATGGAACCAAGTGACTATTTCGACGTTCCAAGGTACAAAATTGCTGAAGGGATAATCAGAAGGGGAGGCATAATAGGTCACTGCGGTCGCGGTACAAGGGCCAAGAAGCTCACCCCTTATACATTCATTCATTGTTTGATTTCAATTCTCATACACATTCACTCACAGTGCTCCTGAATTATCGCGCAACCAGAAAGCAAAAGCAGCGATTACTGTTCGAAGGCCAGAACATCATTATAGCCATCACAGAGAGTCACTTACTTCCTGTGTAAATCCGGACACGGATGGTCGAGGAAGAGGAACGGCTTCAAGCCTGTAAAAGCCCCGAGTTACTCAGTCAGTAAGGTGTAGTGAGTGGGGCTACCGGGTCAGTCGGCTTCTCGCTACATGTACCTCGTGGGCTGATAATTACAGTCATGTTATCTATGGCAACAAATCGACGTTCAATGACCACGGGATTTCTTCCTGGCAGGGCCTCCGTTGCACGACCATCACCAACCGCTGCCATTATGGACCTCAACAGAATTCCGAGCACAACACATGGTCATGAGTTCCACAGCGGACTCAGCCGAGTTGTCATGGTCAGAAAGACTGAGCAGAGGACGTTCGCGTCTGGGAAAAATGGCGAGGTAAGTAAAGAATATTTTTCTTACAAAATCCTATAAAAATAAGTCATACGAAGAACTAATTGCCTTATTTTTTGCTATGATACGGACCGAATAGACAACGAAAAAAATTACGGGGGACAAATACAGCAAAGTGATCTCATAAGTCTCAAAAATCAGGGTGATATACAGCTGGACAGAGAGTCGAGTACATAGACAGCAAGGTGATCGCATAAGCCTCCTTTTATTTTTCTTCAAAATAAAGAATGTAGGCTAAAAAATTTATCAAATGGTATTTAGTTTAAAACAGTCTTCTGGGATGTGGCGCCGTGTAGATACGTATATTGTGTTAACCGACGTATCGGAGGAACGTATCGCCTCCATCTTCAGGGTAGAAGAAAAAATAAGAAATCCGCGAGCGAGGAACCAGCGTGAGCAGATGCTAACAGACTTAGTCTGAAGATGGAGGCGATGCGTTCCTCCGAAACGTCGGTTAACACAATATCTACACAGCGACACATTCCAGAAGACTGCTCTCTTCATAGTAGTCACCGCCGTGAAAACCTAATTTACTTTCTCATATACGACTGGATCTGACTACTTTATCTAGGAATCGAACTCGAATTTTGTTCTTTAGACGCAGGTAAAATCTTTTTCGGAAAAAATGACACTTCGCGTTTGGACCCCTAGTGTGCTTATAGTTCTTTCCGACAGCTCAGTCGGTATAGCGACGTTTTATGAGCTGGACGACCGGGATTCGATTTCCGGTAAGGGCAAGAGATTTCTCTCTACTTCACAGCGTCAAGACCGACTCTGGGGCCCATTCAGTCACCTATCCAATTACTAACTAGATAATTTACAGAAATGTTATAAAAATCACTGCAACCGTTTGCGACAAGTTTGCGACAAAACTTAAAATTTTCTTTTGGTGGCAAATCCGAAAGACGCACATTTTTTGAGCTGAAATGTTCGTGTTTACAAGACATGGACCTGTGATGGGTAAAACGTTGAATACCGAATAAGAATGAAAATCATATAACGGCCCAGGGGCCCCTGAGAGACACATGCATGTACACATGATACATAGTATACACACATAAGCAGAGGCAGACGGCATATCAAAAATCACCTCATCATGGTCTGGGGGAAGGGGGTTAAAGGCCTTAAATTCCTCAAAATCTCGTAATATGAGAAACTAAAATAGTTTTCAGAATTACTGGGTTTTTGGACTTTGTCCGCCGTTCCATATTATAGAAACCAGAAAACAACTCAGAATTACTGGGTGGACAAAGTCCAAAAACCCAGTAATTGTGAGATGTTTTCTAGTTTCGAGAATACCGGACGATGGACAAAGTCCAAAAATCAAGCGATTCTTAATGTTCTACATCATTGTCAGAACCTTCTAGCATCTAAAACAGTTTTGCATAAAATTCATTTTTACGCAATATCAGGTTACCATAGTAACAAACTGTCAAACGTTAACACGTTGAACGAATGTAAGTCAAACAGTAGGCCAGGAACGAGAACCCAGTCTTTTGTGCCAGTGTATCGTGCCTATTCTGTGAGTATTGATAATTTTCATACGTGGATATGTGAAGTGCAGGATACTAAATAATGGAGACGGTTTACGATTATCTGTGCCTGTTAGTTGGACACATTTTCGACCTCGACGTATCATTCGATAACATGTACGACTGGAAAGGAAATGGCGAAAGAAGAAGAAATTGATAGTACGAAAGCTTATATAACGAATGACGAAATTTCCCGTTGAATTCGCAACGGGTATTACGTTAGATCTTTCAGAGACTACCGTCTTCTGAGATGTGACGCTCTGTGGTGTCGCAGGTGTTTACCGACGTTCTGGAGGAACAATAATTATTGTGGTTCCAACGATAATTCTTCCTTGATGACGAAGACAGCGGGAAATGTCTGTAACTAGCGTCAATTGTCAGTAAAACCGCAATGAGACATCAGTCCTGGGTTCAATATGAATAGCTTCCCTCGGCTTTGTTTGCCACTCAGTAGATGCGAATAATGTAGTGCGAATGTCTTCTTAATAATACTTAAATATTCGGTTCCTACCTCACAGGAAACAAACTGCATCTTCATTGCTAAGTATAAATTGGTTAATGCTATTTTGGCAAAAAAAAAAAAATATATTCTGAGAAGAACCAATAGCCTACTTTCCTTTGATACGACACGGATCATATAGAAAACGAGACCTCCAACAATTCTTCGTTATCGCGGGAACGGAATACATTTTACCTAGCCGTTGCCTAGCAACGATAGGAAGGATACACATACAGACTGACGGGAGGGACTTTGCGAAGCACGCCGTTGATGTGAACTCAGGTTCAGAAGTTGATACGGGAGATACACAGACAGCATGGTGATCGAATATGCCTACTTTTGTTTTCTTTTTTAAAAATAAGGAAAATATGCTAGTAATGGATACTTATTCCGAGAATAACAAGAGACATACAAATGTGGGTAAAATCCAGAGTTTGTTTTAACGTTAGAGCAGACGGTAAATATGGGAACCACTCCGTTTTGAAGTCTTAAAATCATTAACTGATTTGCAACGGTGCAGGTTCATATGCTACAACTAACGTGCAGGGTAAAATGTTTCTAGATTGTTTCGATTGTATTCGTGCTTAAAAGAAATCGAAATATAATTCAAACCAGCAAACTTCGCTAAAACCTTCAAGGTCCCTAATCTTTCATCCTGAAGATTGAAGCATCACCTTCCTCTGAAACGTCGGTAAATAGACCTATGTATCAGACTACACAGCGCCATATTCCAGAAGACGCGCCCTTAGAATCCCAAACGTGACATTCTACCAATGATTTGGGCTCATGATCCATTGTTTTGTTTCCTTAAAAAATGAAGCAACAGAGGGAGGTTCAGGGCACCAGATATTTACTACGAAGCCTAGATTTCAAACAAAAGAGATCATAAATGAGCTATGGTTACTGACTCGCTTGGTATTTTCAATAAAATAGTAAACGCTAAAGGTAAAGATAAAGTTGTCCCTGTAACAGTCCATGGAGGTCGATAGGTTTATGAGACGTCGAGGCTTCCACATAGTTATATCGTCTGGAATAGCCAAGTAGTCCGTTGCTTATTACCTGGTTTTTGCTTGGCTTATTCAAAGACGAAGATTTTTTTTTTTCACTGGCTGTACAGCCCCTTTGGGCCCTGGCCTCTGATTTTTCAGTTTCATGATAATTTTACAGACGGTAGGACTCCTTGGACGAGTGATCAGCTAGTAGCAAGGCCTCTACTTAAGCACAGGGCAGCACAAACACAAAATAAACATATACTTCTCCGTCCAAAAAGTATCCGACCTTGGGCCGGGAAAATAAGTTATGTATCTGGGTGGTTACAATACCTAATCGCCTTCAAAGTAGGCCCCTTGTGACTCCACACACTTAGCCCAGCGGTCCTTCCATCGCTGGAAGCAATTCTGGAAGGTTTCTTTTGGAATGGCGTGCAGCTGCGCCGTCGCGTTCTGTATGATGTCCTTGCGGCTGTCAAACCGGCAGCCTTTAGCGGTGTCTTCAGTCTCGGGAACAGCCAGAAATCACAAGGAGCCATGTCAGGAGAGTAGGGAGCCTGGCGAACCTGCGGAATGCCGTGCTTGGCCAGGAAACCCTGGATCAGGTGTGGGGCGTTGTCATGATGCAGCTGCCAGTTGCGTGCGTCCCACAGCTCCAGTGTCTTGCGCCGAACTGCATCACGAAGATCGCGGAGGACTTTTGGTAGTACTCCTTATTGACAGTCTGGCCTAGTGGTGCGTACTCATGATGCACAACACCCCGGTAATCGAAAAAATCAGCCAGTATCACCTTCACATTGCTCCGAACCTGTCGTGCTCTTCTGGGCCTCGGGGATGTTGGGTGCTTCCATTGTGACGCCTGGACCTTGGTTTCCGGGTCATATCCGTACACCCACGACTCGTCACCAGTGATCACAGTCTTCAGGAACTCAGGATCCCTGTTGGCGCACTCCAGCATGTCCTGCGCGACCTCAAGGCGGAGTTGCTGCTGCTCCGGCGAAAGCAGCTTGGGCACAAATTTTGCCGCCACTCTTCGCATGCCGAAATCCTCAGTTAAAATTGTGTTTGCGGAACCTCTGCTGATCCCAACCTCATCAGCAACTTCACGGATGGCCAAGCGACGGTCCTCCATGATCAGTGTCCGCACTTTTTCAATGACATCAGCATTTCGGCTCGTTGACGGTCTCCCGGAACGCTGCTCACTGTCCGCCGACATACGGCCATGTTTAAAGCGGTTGAACCACTCTTTAATTTGAGTGACCCCCATTGCATCATCGCCGAAAGCCTGCTGAATTTTGCGGATTGTTTCCGCTTGGGTATCCCCAAGTTTCTGACAAGACTTGCAGTATCACTGCTCCAAGCGTTCTGTCATCTTGAGCGAAACGAGAATGTGACGAACACGTCTTACACCACTTCGCTATCTGGCAGCCACAGACGCATCCGGCAGTGTTGCGAGTCAGCAAAAAATCACGCATGCGCATGAAAGTCCCTTCTACCGCTACGCTCAGTTTCCCCACCCCTTTGGCCATTACATACAGCGGAAAAAAATAAAGTCGGATACTTTTTGGGCATACGGTACACATACCAAAAATCAATGCTTTTGTGGGATTCGAACCCTTGATCCAGGCTTCCTTCCGAGCGAAGACAGTTGATACTTTAGACCGCCCGGCTACCGTGACCGGCACACCTTGAAGATGGAGGCGACATATTCTTTCGTAACGTTGATTGACTTTAAATGGACTACATGGTGTTATATAACAGAATTGTTACGCAATGCAAAGTTTTCCTAAATTGTTAAGCCTGAATTAACGACATTTCTCACTCCCTCACCCCTCGGATGCCCGATTTATAAGTAAGACTACCTTCACATACTCGTCATTCTTGAAAACAAGCAGAGCAGGCATTCTTTACAGCACACCTATGTTTGTTCGCTTAGACGAAGCAAAAGAATTGTTCTGGCATGCA